TTAAACAAAGGCAGGAATCAGATAGCCTATAGGAATGTACCTTATTAATCAAAGCATTGTGTGCCTTTGTCTTCATGAAGAAATTGCATGAATGTAGTTAAATAAGAACATTGGTTAGATGCATCATCCTCTTGAATCTACTAGTTCTTAATGGGAAGTATTTACACAAATCAATAAAGTAATAATAGACATGGGTTATTGAAATGAATGTATTAGTTTTTGCTAAGTCTTTTACTAAATATTTTGTTAAAAATTACAGTATTTACTTAGATATGATTGCCTCTAGTTAGAATATTACTGTGATATAAGCCAAGTATATATACATATAGGTACAAGAAAATTATTGGATTAAAAACATATTCTTAGATAACCTAAATATTTTGTTAGAAAAAAACTTACAGCATTTTGTATTATTGATTACTCTGAGATTATTAGTACACATTAGTTATATAAGGGAGGAGTTTCATTGTGACATTTCCATGTATTGTATACAGTGTATTACAATCACTCTCTGTCACTCTCCCTTTCTTCCCTCTCACAGATTTCATTGTTTAAAGCGAGAAGTAGAAAAATAAACTATTAAGTACCATAAGTAATAGGAACTAATTTGCTTTGCTCATCCTCTAAGAAAGTGTAGGTCCATCATTAACAAGTACTTATTAACCTGAATCCTACGGCATGTTCCATAATGTGGTTAATCCAGTTTTTGAATGTTGAAACAAAATGAAATGTAGCTAATATCAGAAACACCCTTCATAAATGTACACCTTAAAATGAAAACACCTGTATAAACAGTGTTGGGTGCTGTGAACCTCCTTCATGACCTCCCCTTTCCCTGCCCTGGCCTTTTTGAGTGTTTTCTGCAAGTAGTCTTACCATTTATTTTGTATCTGGCCCCTTTCACTCAGTATTATGTGAGACAGTCATGTGTATGGTTCTACATTGTAGTTGATCTGAATTCCATTGGGGGGCCTTGAACTATGAGCATTCTGCTCTCGGCTTTTTCACTCATGGCTGGCACTCTACCACTTGAGCCATATCTCTACTTTGAGCTTTTGCCCTGGCTGACGTTATACCATGATTCTCAGATTACAGCCCCAGGGCAGCCAGATTATAGGCCTGGAGCCACCAGCGCCCAACTGACCTTAATCTTTAAAAGCTATAATGTATGGTTATGAAGTTGTTCTCCAACTGTAGTGAGTGAATATGAGTGGTTGGATTTTACCGGTAGGCCACATAAAACTCTTGGAGATCCATCCCTGCAGTGTTCTATAAGACTACCTAGAGATTTCAGTGAAGTATTTTCATGTTTTATTGTGTTATAAATTTGGTCAACCTTCCAGTCTTCAGGTTCCACGCCCTTGGATTCTGACAGCCTCAGTGGAAATACTCTCTCATTCACGAATGTCTTGGATTTGTCTGCCGGGCTGACATCTCAGCCCTTTGAGTAGTTAGGGTTACAAGTGTGAGCCACTAGTGCCCAGACTCCTTTCTCCTTTAAAGTTGGAGCTGACATTAAGGGATATTCGCATATGTAGGGCCTTGGGTTCCTTCCCCACCATGAGAGGGGCAGAGAGAAAAAAAGGAAGGTTGCATGTGTGCTGACTATGTAGAGACTTTGTTATTACTACCTAAACAATGCAGTGTAACAAGTATTTATTTACATTGCGCTAAGATTTGAAGTATACAAGAGAATATACATAGGTTATTTGCAAAGGCCGATTAACAAACAGCTTGAATGTCTGTGGATTTTCATACCCCAGGATATCCTGGAACCAGTTTTCCATGGACATTAAAGGATGACTCTTGTCTTTGGAAATAAACTGTACTATAGACACTTGATTTAAAGGGATTTGCCTGTTGTCATTTTAAGTGGTCCTGACTAAAGCCTTAAAATTTTACTTTTGTGTTGTAGTTCATGGTAAATTTAAACAAGAAAGTTACCAAAATTAGATATTATTTGACTCAGCTTAAGTTGAAGGGTGCTGATGGCTGATTTCTGTAATCGTAGGGCTGAGATCAGATGATCAAGGTTCAAAGCCAGCACAGAAAGAAAAGTTCATGAGACTATCTCTAGTTAACTAGCAAAATGCCAGGCTGGAGGTGTGGCTCCTGTGATAGAGTACCAGCCAAGAGCAAGCCAGCAAGCCAAGTAGGCGCTGAATTCCGACCAGGGCACTGGCACAAAGAAAAATGTCTGTCAGCTCCTGACAGAAATAAGATTAGTAAAACTCAGCAGCTTTTAATGATCAGAGTTTTGCTGTGGAAAAACTGATGGATGTATTGTCACATGATTGAGAGTGTTAACTGTCACAAAAATTCAAGAACTTTAAGTTGGAGACTGGGTAGACTGTGTTTCACATGTCTTCCCACCAGTTGGTACATTTGATATAATGTGCCATATGTTAAAATACTATATACATACATCTATGTGTGTGTATTCAGGGTTAGGGTGTAGCTTAGTGGTCAAGCACTTGCCTAGCGTGTGCAAGCCCATAGGTTCAACCCCCACCATTGCAAATGAAAAGAAAAAAGCCCTCTAGAAAGATTGATATTTTAATTCTTTCTTGGAATATAAATTTTTTCTTTGGATACACTGCCTTTCCAGTATTATTCCACTGGGTACATTTAGATATTCTTAAATCTTGAGTATCTCTAAGATCATTTTTCTAATACATAATATGTAGAGCAAAAGTATAGAAATACTGGGGACATGTAGGGTTGTTCTCACTTTGTTCACCTAAAAAAATGTGTGTCAACCCTTCAAGAAGTAAGCATTTAATCACAGGATTTCTCAATAGTATAATGAATATTCTTAAACACCATTGGAAAAATATGGCTAAAAATTAGTGGACAGTCTTACAGAATTTTAGGGTTTTATTATTTCTTTAGAAGGAAGTGGAGTTGGAAGTGTGGCTCAGTTGGTAGAGTACTAGCCAATGAGCAAAAGCAGTACCAGTCTCAGACCTAATAAAAAGAAGGAGGAAATGAAGGAAGAGAGGTTTATACTTGAAAATGAAATTTTGTGTCAAACTAAGCCATTAATAACGAGTACCATGCTAGGGTATAGCTCAGTGGTAGAACTCTTGCCTAGCAGTGGTGAGCCCCTGCATGTTCAGTCCCCAGTAACTGCTTCTAAAAAGGCCAAGAATAGCATGTCACTTTTCACATAATTACTTGGAATTGTAAATCATCACTTTAGTTTGTCGCATTTTAGGCTTTTAATAAGAATTGGCAGATTTACCATACATTTGTATAATGTACACACCTTTAAAGGTGTGTGTGTGTGTGTGTGTGTGTGTATATATATATATATGTATATGTATATTTGTGTGTGTGTGTGTGTGTAGCATAGAAGGTGCTTTATTTGGCTATTTGGCTGGCTTCAGTCTTGTCTCCTAAGGGCTTTCCAGGCATCTATCACAATAGTGTGATTTGTTGACAAGCCCAGAGAATCCAGCAGTTTGCCCTTTCAGTAACCAGTTGATTAAATCTTTGAAGACAAATGGGTCATCAGTGCTACTGCTGAGTCTTTTAGAAGGCATTTACTTTACTCCGTATGCATGTTTCCTCTAGTACACAAGCACATACAGTATCTTCTTAGGCGATATGTCCCACAAAGAAGTAATCATCAAAAATAAACATTAGGGGCCGGGCGCTGGTGGCTCACGCCTGTAATCCTAGCTACTCAGGAAGCTGAGATCTGAGGATTGCGGTTCAAAGCCAGCCCGGGCAGGAAAGACGGTGAGACTCCTATCTCCAATAAACCACCAGAAAACGGGAAGTGGCCCTGTAGCTCAAGTGGTAGAGCGCTCGCCTTGAGCTGAAGAGCTGAGGGACAGCGCCCAGGCCCAGAGTTCAGGCCCCACGACCGACAAAAAAAAAAAAAAAAAAAAACATTAGGAAATAATTTACTATTCTGATGGATAGGTCATAGTTGTATAAAGTCTTTCTAGAAACCTTTGGTAATGTGTTCATGAAATAACCACAACTTTCAAACATTTTTCTACCATATGGATTTTTGCCTTCACCGGGTGATTTTTACTATAAGGCCATGCTTATAAAAGAAGCATGGTTCTTATTGAAGTCAAATGTGTTGTGAGATTACATTTGGAAAGATGTGTAAACCCCCATAGAAAAGTTCCACTAAAAGTCAAAAGTCTGTCATCTGTATATCTAGCTCATGCGTTCTCAGTGCTGTGCCCTTGAGCTTCCTGAGCTTTGTGCATACTTCCCCTTTGCAGTGAGGCCTCTTTCTTTCCCCTTTCTTTGACCCATTATATCATTTTATTTAGGTAAAGCTGTATCCCCACGAGGGTTCCCTTTTCTGTGGCTTACTGGCAACTGGTACACATTCTTGTCAGGCAAAAAATGATGTTATTCAGGAATTGAAATAGATGTACAGTTGAAAGCTTTCTTTAGAAAGTGATGACATTCTTATTTTTGCCACTACTAGACCTTCCTCCTGCCAGTTTTCTTCAGTTCCCATGTTTACGAAAGTAAGGCCACTGCTGAATAGGAGATAGTAGGCCTGTTACATAAAGTATAAAAAAAATTTCCATCAACATTAATAATTGGGTAGTAGAGACTTATTGATAATATAGGAATAAAATCAGAATGCTGTCTTAAGCATTTGAATGATCCCTGTAGATCCAGCCATCTGTGCTAGAGTCTAGAAACTCAAACGTGGAGGTGGACCAAACAATAGATCGGAAATGCCATTTTATAGGACTATAAAACTGTCTATGCCAGGTTATATGGTGTTAAGTAATCATTTCTGGATCATAATCTTAAACCTGTAATTGGTTCCATTTCTACTTGACTCTTCACGGATAAGTATTTCTGATGGCTTGAAAGGCCATGGTGAAGTTTAAAGTTTGAAGTATCCAGACCAAATATGGAAATATTTTACATTAAATAAAGTATAAAATATCAATTGTGTAAAATGGTAAAACATAAAATTTTGCTATAAAAGATTTTTAAAGACTATTTGATTAAAACACTTATTTACTTAAACTCTTTGCTAGAATTTTTTTTAGAATTCAGCATCGGAGGAGGAATGTGACATAATAATGATCGAAAGCCGAGAGTTTAAAAGTTGTGATCCCTCAAATGGTTGGAGGGTTATTCTAGCCTCTAAGGACTGAATGTTGTGCACAAGAGTGTCTCATCAGGTCATACATTGGTAAGACTTAATGGATTAGATTTTATGTGTTATACCTGATGTTATTGTCTTGAGATGACTTTCTATGAACAAATGAGCACGTGTATTAAGAGTACAAAATAAAAGTTAGAAGGTGGAATTTTAAATACTTAGATTATGTCATCTTTTCAGGCTCACAAGACTCAAGGCCCTATCTGCAGTGGTGTTTAGTAAATACACCAGTTTAAAAATGCAAGTTTCTATTACAGTGGAATATTTACATATTGCTGTCACATCTTCTGTAGATGCTTGCAACATACCAGAAGATATTTGAAAAGTCTTTCCTTTAAAAAAATCCATTTTATTTATAAACCATTGTTTTAATTTATTGCTTTTTGAAGATTTTGCTTTCTTGATAAAAGGTATCTGCTAGACGTTTCTAAAAGCCAAAACTTTTCTCAATTTCATATTGATAATACCACAGATGCTAGTATCACATGAAAATATTATAGTAGAAGTCAGTATAATTTTTTCATGTCTTGGAAATTCTTCTCAGAAATTCTGCTTAGGAAAAAATTAATTTGTTTTTTGCATTTTGTTATTTTTTTGCTTTGTTTTTATAAGTAAAAGTCAGCTCCATTTCATTTGCAAATGGAGAAAAGTCAGGGCTAAGTTACCTTTAGAGTCATACAGTTGTAGAATTAATATTCTTGCTAAGGTATGGTGTACTTATTTTGCAAGTCTACCAAAACTTCTTGAAGTTCTTTTACAAAAATCCCAAAAGTTGTGGGCCACCTAAGCAGGCCATGTGTATCCAGTTTTACCCTTAACCAGAGATTTGTTCATGTCTCCCTGGCACACTCACACTTACTCTGTCTTTTGAATAAGGTTCTAATTTTTTCTGGGATAGCATTTCATAACTTTGTATTCATTAATAATTGTGGCCAGTTGAAGTCTGGAAGGAATACAGTTAATTAGTTGTTTCTTATTCTGTATACTTTCCTTTTTTTTCATTTTCTACCAACAAATCTACATAACTTTGATAATCACAAAAATAATTTTCCTAAATATAAATGTCCATAGTTAGAAGTTAAGGGCGATTCTGGGTTATGAGCTTCGTGGAACTTGGGGAAGGATTGTTTAGTCTCTTTAGCTTTGTGTACATTTGTTGAGAACATTTGTCACAATTTGAAACATGTTAATATTGCTACAGAATGTTGTGTGTTCAGAGGGGTAAGTCTTACTAGATACCCAGGGTGTGACTCAAAATTTCTATCAAGAACATTGATTCCACTGACCCATACTCATTTAGTAAGCAGAACAAACCAGAACCTGGCTGGGTTTTTAGAAGTTTCATACTTTAAATTTGTGTACCAGCATCAATTAGGTTTCTCCACAAAGTCGTTCATTTGCTACTGAATATTCTATCAGTATGCTAAATATTTTTGACCCCTCTTATTTAATTTTTATTAAGTCGTAATTCTGTAGATAAAACCAGTATCCTCAGTTTACAGAGGAAAAAATTGAATGTAAGAGCAGTTGAGCAGAGATTAAGTAATTTGCTCAAGTCATAGCCATTGAGTGGCTGAACTGAGAGTCCAGTTTGGCTTTCTGACTGCTGGTGTGCAAAGTAGCCCTGAAAAGCTCGAAAGATAAGAAAGGATATTTTTACACTGTGTAAAGATGTGAATACATAAATCTGATTCACATTGAACTTAAGATTGAGCCACTCTATTACAGCATCACCTTTTAAAGCATTTGCCAAAAAACTATAAAGTGAGTTGTTTACTATCTATTTATTGCATTAGAAAATAAGTTCTATGCATGCTTACTGGCTATGACTCTGTACATAATTATATATAAGCAAATGCACATTTTAAGAAGTTTTAGTATAAGAAATGTAATACCATTAAGATAGCATTATATTAAAAGTAAGCCTTAAGGAACTCACTTTTTAATATTTGTAATCTGAAATAGCAAACACGAGAAGGCATTTTAAAAGCTTCTTTGAGCTCCAAATGTTTCTTGAGGTAATGGGAAATAGTAAAACTCCCTATTGATTGCTTTGTGGGAATTTCCCATTTGCCCTTTTCTCTGAATCATTGAGAAACTTACGCTTACTTTCTGAAGCATCAGGCAAAATTTTTATTCTTTCAGGCAGATGAATTTTTTTCTGGGCATTACTTAGGTTCATATCCTTTTGATTGTTTTACTTTTATTCCTTCGTTGAGCCCCAAACCTTTTAGCTTTTTCCTGCTTGTACGTATTTGTAATAAAATGTTGTGTTTTAAATATGGCTCACAGTGGGTGTGATGGTGCCCAGCTCCCCAGCCTGTGGTAGGCAGAGGCAGGAAGACTGCACTCAAAGCCAGACAAGCGCGGTGCAAGACCTTGTCTCAAAAAGAAACAGTGTAGAGTGCTGGCCTGCACGCACAAGGCTCCGATCAGACACATATGGGGTTAAAATGAACAGCTCTCTGCCACGAGTTACATACCTAAGCATTTGTTATTTCAGTTAAATTGATAATGTCTGCAGATCAAGTGTAAACTTTCTTCCTTTACGCTGCAATTAAAAATGTACAACTTCATAGAGAATTATCTCAGTGTTCACATATTTCCTTCCAGTACACACAATGCACGTACATTTTTTCAAAACATACATGTATGTGTGTGAATAATTATAGTTGTGATAGCTTTTCAGTAATTTTGAAGTACTAAAAATTAAAAGCAAATATGATGTGTCACATAATCACTGTGACAGAAGTCTGAGACAATAGCTTGCGAGGAAGGGTTTGTTTTGGCTCTCAGTGTCGGCTCGTTTCTGTATTTGCAGGCTGTAGTGAGGCATCTTGTCGTGACAGAAGAGCATGCTCATGATCTCAGTTTGTAGCCCCCACTGCAGGATGAGTGCAGGAGACGTAGGGACCAGAAGGGTCTAGAGACAAGGTCACGCCCATCAAAGAGTGACCCCTAGTGGCTGGCTTCCTCCAATTAGGCCCCGCCTCTGAAGCCTATTGGCTGTGAATTTATCCATGGATTCACCAGGGTGCCCTTATGTTCTGATTACCTCCCAGTCCATCTCCAGTGTTTCATCCCGTGATCCCTTTAGGAGGTACATTATATCCAAACTTCAGCGCTCGGCTCCTGGCTCCTGAGAGCCCTTGTCCATCTCAGTGTGCAAAGTACGCTAGTTCATCTCCATGAACCCCCAGAGACTTAGCAGTCGCATTATTCTGAGACTAAACTCAGACTTTTTAGGAGCCTCTGTAATAATCAAAAAGAAGTTACGTACTTGGGACCTAACAATGGCACAGGGTAAACATCCTAAAGGGAAAGCATGGGGACATAAACAGGAGGAACTCGTGCAAGACCTTGTCGCGCAGACCTTGAAATGCCGTAGCTCCACGCCTGGCATCTGCTGTACGGTGGCCTGGTTTGCACTCCAGAAATGTGGGCAGCCCCTCCCTCGCCTTCTCAGCGGCAGCGAACGTGGGCAAACTGTTACTGGCTTGGTGCCGGTCACTTTGCTTGGCAGAAGCCTCGTGCGTCTGTCCTGTCCCCTGCCTGACCACCGGCAGGCAGACATTCCCGTCCTGCCACACATTGCCTGGTCCTCCTCTGAAATCTTGGTAGACGTGTCACTGGTGCCACAACTGTCACGTTCTGCATTCTTGTAAAATAGGCGTTGTGGACAACACACAAGTCTGCTGCCACACACAGCCCGGCGTGAGCCCGTGCCTCCACTCTTCCCTAAGCAAAGCCTGCAGATGGAGCGTGCACCTTTATTCCCTGAGCCTGAGTGGTCAGGGTTCCACAGGGCAGCTTGCCTGTCCACGTCGCCAGTGTCTTCTTCAACCACACTCCTTTTCTGCCTAAATCCAAAGTTAAAATGCCCCGGTTTTCACGCTAGATTCTTCCTGTAAAACTGGTGAAAAAGCCAGTCAGCAGTACCTGGGCTGTGGTGCCTCCAGTTTTCCTCTGGCAGATAAACTAGCCTGTCACTTTAAACTCGGGATCACACGATGTCTCAGGGTATGGGCATAGTGTATGGCAGTTTGCCAGCGTGTAAAACACAAGTGGGGTTTCTGGCGCCGTGGAGATGCCCCGTTTCTGCTGTTCGCCTTGGCACTCTGGCCAGCACCCTGCTTTTCTGCAGTCCCACTGGACCGCATGCTGCTTCCCTAGCTCCCCGGATTCCACCTGAAGACGAGGTGGAGGCCTTTGAGAGGCATGGCCCTGGTTCCTTGTGCCAGTCCCTTTTCATCCCTGACAAACACCTGAGGAAAGAATTGAAGAAAGGAAGGGTCCTGGCCCGAGGGGAGGCAGCACCTCACAGTAGAAGTAGAGGGGGTGTGAGCACAGGCGTGCAAGCTCCGAACAGCCCGGCCCCTTCAGACGCGATGAGGCCAGTGCCTTCACCCAGTAGGCCCTCAGCAGTGTCCACAGCTGCCCCCCCCTTCAATACAAGTTTTGGATTTTTGACAGACACCTGCTACTTTGATATCTGTGACATGTCCTTTCCTTCTTTTCCCCCTTACCTAAACAGATTGTATTTTCTAGACCACTCAACTGACAGGCCTTGACAGAGTGTTTCTGGAGTCCTCAGCCTCTGCTCACATTCTTCACTGTAGTGAAAGCAATGCTTTCGGCAGCCATCAAGTGCTCCCCAGTCTGTATTCCTCAAGCTAGGCATGTCCTGAGGTCAGGCGTCCCTTTCCTCTGCAGTACCTCTGCCACCATGTGGCCCGCCTCGCAGTCTGCCCAGCTCCTCTCTACCTGGTCACTATTCAGCCTATTTGCTGGCCTTTTACCCAGAGAGGCTGCCATTCCACACGTCAGGTTTGAGTACGAGGCACCCTCATCCATGCTGCCCCTTGAGACTGCTCTTGCTTGAGTTTTCTAAGGTGGCTGTGTGTGTGTATATTCATTCAGCCGCCGAACTTCCATCACTATTTCCCCTGACTAGGCATTATTTGCCCCACAAAATACCCGGCAAAATCCCATTCTATTTTAGCACTTACCATGTCTGAAACATATATTTT